ATCCTAGTAGATTGGAAATTCATCTAGCAAATCAATGTATTGAGTTTCAGCATTCATTTGTAGTTTTGACAACAAACCGCAGTTTCGGCACAGTGATTGAGTTTCAGCAACAAGCCGCAGTTTCGGCAAAGTGATTGAGTTTCGGAGTATTAGTTTCTACAACCTTTTTTTTTCCGAGTTTCAGCATTATCACATTTTAGTTTAGGCAAACTTCTATAACTTAATTGTTATGGAATTTATTTATTTCTTCATACCATTCCCCTTTTGTGTCATCTGAGAAAACCTCTTCCCCATCAGCTAACGCACATTCTTTTTTATTAATTGATGGTCCAATTTCAATAAATTCAGTTCTATAATTTTTAGGAGGAGGTACATATAGTTCATCTCTTTTTTCATAGTAATATTCATAAATTTTTGATGCAATTTCCTCATCAGTAGGATGAGAACATGAATATGTACGTGAATTCTGACGATTTAATAGATCTCTGTAACCTTGGATATGCATTTGGAGTCTGTAATGAAATGTATCTTTCTTGTAATTGTTTTGCAGATGGTTATTATTTCTTCAATGAAACACCCCCAATCAAAATCTTCAGGATCGTTACCACATTCTTCCCAATTAGTTTTTACACCCTGATATAATTCTTCAAGTTTTTTATCTGTATAGACAATAGGTTCAGGGATTGGTTCTGGAGTTGAATCAATAATTTCTGGCTCAGGAACTGGTTTGATAATTTCTGGCTCAGAAATCAGTTCAGGAATATTAGTTTCAGATAATATGGTGCTCCAGAATTCATCCTCATCTTCTAATTCGAGATTAGCAGGTTCAGGAACTGGCTCAGAAATTGGTTCAGGAATTGACTCTTTTTTTACTTGAAGTTTGATCGGTTTTTGGGGAATAGGAGGTGGGACTTTTTTAGTGATAGGTGCAGAAGATTTACTACATTCAGCAGGCGATTCTAAAGACGTTTCTGGTTTTTTATTTTTAAGAATTGGTTCATCAAATTCCGAACCAGATGATTCATATACTTCTTCTTCATCAAATTCCGAACCAGATGATTCATAGACTTCATCAGCATCATCATCATTTTCTAGTTCGGGAATTGAATTAGTAGAATTAGTAGAAGGGCTCTGAAGGGGCAAGTCTAAAGGCGCTTCTTCTGATGGGAATTTTTCAGGGGATTTCAATGATAATTTTATACTCTCTGTATGTTGGTATCCCTCTGGTTCATTAATATTTTCAGCTTCATCAATCATATTCTTTTTCTGGAATATGGTATAAAGATCATTATATGAAGCTGAATACCATTGCATTTTTTTATTGGCTTTTCGATCTCCTATTCTTTTTGACTTAGGTTTTATCCCTAGCCCTACCATTGCATGAGTAAATTCCTGTACAATAGGCGGTCTTTTTTTGATGCCAAACATTTCCCGAAACCAGTTTTTATATGTATTATAAAGGTATGTAGAAGCTAAATCGAGATCTAAAGACTTACATAAATATTCCTGCTTTATAAACTCATAGATTGGGTTAATATCCCTGCTTGTCATCATTAGCTTAGTTTTACTCATTGGAATTTTGCACTCATCAAAGTCTGGATTAAGTTTAACATATTCCATTGCGTAAGAATAGAAAGCTTTTCCAACTTCTGGATTTTTTATAGCTTTATCCAGTGGGGCATAATAATGATCCATTCCAAT